CGCGTTTCACTGCTTGTCCTGACTTTCTAGTGACTGCGCTCACTGTATGCACTCCTTGACGGATGGTGGGAACAAGACCATCCACCGGAGATTCCTCATCAGAGTTGAACGCCATATGGTTCGCTGAAGGGAAGGATTGTATTCGAAGGAGCCAGCGAATCTGTACAAACTGTGTGCGCATGGATGATAAAGACAGCTCCGCGCTCAAGTAATTTGTGGTCGTTCTTCCTTGTGTAAGTAGTGCAGCCCCAGCTACGAAACTGCCACTCTCGCGACTCCACAGCGAGCGAGGAGCGTGCTAGAGCCGTTGAAAATTCTAGTTCTAACATCCGCCAAGTTGAACCGCCCACTTGCTAGATGACCTTGTGACGGAGAGCCGCTCAGTTGTTCTTTGTTGGGTGGCGGGCATTAATCGGAATCGCATGCCTTTTGTGTCGACCGCGCTCCAGCCCATTAGCAATTCTGCTTCCTTTTTATTACATTTTATTCATTAGGAGCACATGCAGTCAACTGCAACCCATCTCGCAAGGTAAAACGCGTAAAAATCACGAGTGATGCAATTTTCTTGGTGCAAAAGCTCGACTGCACTGAAAGATGCCCGCTACCGTAGAATTCGTACGCCGAGTTTCTCGAAGTTTCTTCTTATAAATTTCTCGTAGATGTTTTTGTTGTTTTTCGTATTTTCCTCTGCACTGGATGTTTTCTACTACTGGAAGATGCGAAAAAGTGGTCTGTGAGTCAGTGGTTGCACAGAGACCGCGGGGCGCGGAACGATTCTGTTTATGGTCATCTGGAAGAGCTTCTCGCTTTTTTCTTTTCTTGGGGAATTACTAGTCAGCTACCATTTCATAACTGAACACCAACTATTCACGCGGGAAGTGTCTTTAAAAGCAGAACTCATCAACGAAAGTGTGGATGGTGCAATTCTGTGAAACTACCAATTACTCTACATGCTTTCCAGTTGAAATTCGGAGTTAGCAAGCGCCAATCGCTCAGTCATTAGCAGATTTGACCTCTTCTTTGAAAACTTTGTGTGAATAATTTTGTCTTGTAAAGAGGGACACTCGCACGAAGAAGACCAAAAACTCTCAACCGCAGTTGCGCTCAATTGAGGGATTTTTGTAAACGATTTAGCAGCGATGGGGAAGGGAAAATCTTCTGCCTTCCGGATCCCATTTTGCCCTGGATATTGTGTAATCAACATTATGGTCCGTGAAAAGCTCAAAACATGAGATTCGATGCAAACAGTGAGATTTCTTTTGGAACTTGCGTAGTTCCTGTGAAGTGAAAGCTTTCGAATGAGCACGAACCGCGACTATCGCTTTATAAAATGGTGTTTCTGGAGGAAATTACAGCCTTGCGAGAAACCTCAAGGTGATAACAACTGAAATGGCACGCTCGAATGCGTGGCGCAGTTGGAAGAAAGGTCATTGCATTAGGTCCCTTTTATGTTCGGATCGTTATTTCATTCTCTGTTTTATTTAGTAAAAAATGAGAGGGGTCCTGTTGACGCTCGCTGAAGGGGAATCGCACCGACGGACTAACTTCCCTGAACCTGATTTCGACCATGGTTGGAAGAGGTCGCCGCAGGAGATTTTCTGCCAGTTTTAACTGTATGCGTGCCTGGACGGCAGTGCTGCTTCACCAGCTACTGAAACTTTCAGCGAAAACTTCACATTCGGAAATTCGTATTTGGGCTTTGATCGACGCGACAATAGAACTCACAGTCGAGCGATAGTTTATAAAATTATAGACAACAAAAATGAACGATGGTTGGATGACAAAGAATGGCAACAAACCGGACAGATCACTATGAGTAGATGCATGTATTGACAAATGACTAATCTGGAGGTGCACTAACTGGCTCCAAACATGAGCAGGTGGGTCATTTAGCAGGGTTAAAGAATTCCGAGTAGGTATTAGGTCATCCCATTCAAACGTGCCGCTACATATAGAGGAATGGCAGAAAAGCAAAGGGGATAGAGCAGCGGGCTACTATACCATTTGGAAGCTAGTACCTTAAGCTGTGTATCTGTGAAATTTGGCGAACCTAGCCCAGAAGAAGTTCTCGAGAAATTGAAAAGAAGCCCGAGTGGTGAAAATCGGCGCCGGTTTTTCAAATCAGACGTCATAAGAGGAAAGTGCGCTGCTCAAATTTGACCTGCGCCGGACCATAGTTGTGTGTAAGGGTGTTCTCGAAATACACGGTGGAAGATTTGGTTCAGGAGCCCGTACAAGGAAGAAAGGAAAAAATTTGTTGTCGTGGATGGTCCCATAATGTTCATCCTGCACAAGAAGAAAGGGTGGATAAAGTCAAGCGCTGAATGCCTGATACACAGCCTGGATCTTTGTCGAGCTTCCCCGCGAGACTGACGTCTCTGCTACAACTGCTGCCCAGAGTTATGTCCGATAAACTGAGGATGGTCAAGAGGGTGGCGCATGGGTACCTAATTTTCTTATAGAAGCACGAACGCAGTACCGATTCTATACCTCTAGCAGTAATGTTCTCAGCATGAGATGTCACTCACAACTGTGAAAACGCACCCAGGCCTTAGATGAAATATGGGTGGTCTCGGACCTCGAGTCGAAACTCACAATCGTCAATTTTGTATGAATGCAGATGAGAAGCCGCCCGAGTTCTACCATGAAGAGTTACGTGGGCGCAAGTGGATGATCATCATAGCAAAGGATTCCCACACTGTGGCTTTCAAGCGGCTCTATACAGAGAACAAATCCGTCACTGTCGGTGCATATTGCCTGTTCCTCGGCATTCAGATCGACAAATGGATGCTACCACACAACTACAAGAAGGCCACCGTTGCTCGTCATAGTACCAGACCCCGAGTAACTGTATTGTAGATCAGTGCTGGGACACAAACAATACTGAGACCTGGGTTCAATCGCCCCATTCGCCCGTCATAAAGCCATGCGATTACAACTGTTCTATTCAGTTGAGAGTACTCTCGACGGCAGACGCTACAATGTTTTGTCATTTGCCGAAATTGGCAACAACAGCAATTTACCCACACTTGTTGAAAAATCGAAGGTACCAGAGGTCCAAAGGCCCTCGGGGCACTGGGAGCGGGTCATTGGTGAAGGAGGGATTTACTCATCCTAAAGCTAAAATATCACTTTTCTATCTATTCTCCTCTTTGTTTTATTCAAAAAAAAACCAGCGGCAGTTTGAATGGGATGACCTAATATTTGGACTACGCTATGTAGAGCTTCTCTAAGTCGTCCGTGGTAACCATCGGCCAGAAAGGAGTCCTCCCCTGATCAGGGCACACCATTGGCTGGAGATTTAGGTCGAGTCCGTACGCCCCCTCCCCCACCTTTTTTCAGGTTGGACTCCCCCTTGCTCCCCCCCCCCCTCTACTGAGCACTTTCTTCGTTTCATCAATTTTTACAACTCCCCACCATACTTTACGGAATTTCCTGAAATCTTTCTGGTTTTTTCCAATAATCTTGTTGTCGAGCGGCAGGGGAGTGGGGCGGGGATATAGTACAAAACAAGACAAACCACAAAAACTCAAGCAACCTATCTCAGAAAGCCAAAGGAAATTACGACCGCCTGCCACCTCCTCCCAACAACGAGCAAATACAATCCCCCTTTGTAAAGTCCGCGGAACAAGAAAAACCAACTATAGAGAAAAAGGTTCGCGGATTGATACTACCTTCCGCCCCAGCGACTGAATACCACCCCGTGCTAGGGAATCTCCAGCAACGATGTGCGCTATCCTGAAGGGTGTCTGTTTGAGTTTTTGAGGAAATTCGGGGTAATGGCCCGCGTACATGGCTCCGTGATTATGCGCCGGCATTCCATACCCCGGGACGCCTCCTGCAGCACCCTCCTCGCCGCGGCGCTGCTCTTGGATGCCTTGACGACACACGAGTTCAGCTCTGCTTGAATGACCATTTCATCAGTTAAAAAGTCACATGGAATTGTTTTGTTGTGACACAAGGCCCATACCCCATGTCATATCTCGAAAGCAAGAGCTACATAGCTGATGCTGTCTCCCGCGTTATGAATATGGTGACCTCCCCCTTTTAACGCCTCTTATCGTATCTTATCAGCTGATATCACTTCCTGTCACCCACCAATAGTGTTCCCGTCACACCCCCTACATCACTTCTTGGAACCAATGTCTCACTGCTACTGGGACCGGCGCTATGAATTTCGTGACACACACACACACACACACACACACACACACACACACACACACACACACACACACACACACACACACACACACACACACACACACACGTACTTAGCGAATTGTATACAGTAGGATAACGTGTTTGTGCTAGTTGAGGCAAATTGGCTTCACGTATCAAGAAGTGATACGCAATATGATAAGAACAAATATAAAAGCTAGACGGAGCGGTGGGAATCATTTCTGTTGCTGAATTGCACAGCTGTGATGTGTATGGCTTCCTGCATGATTCGTCTTGCACTAATCCTGTCGACGCTTGCTGCAGCCGTCCATGGCCACATCCTGAGCACTACTCTTGCCAAAGCCAAGGCTGGTGAATGGGTTGGTCTGGAAGGTTCCGAGGAATCCATGATCAAGGTAGGTCTGTATGTTCTGCCTCCAAATTTGCGTTGATTGGTAGGATTCCTAGTAGAGTTCTCCAGGTCTTTGAAATACTCCCAGAAGATATCACATCTCTGTCTTCGATGTGAAGGATTTCATACTTGCCCTTTCTAGGTTATCAAGGCTAGCAAGGTCGCTAAAGAAGGAAACCTCGATTTTAAAACCGCTGAGGACTACTGCAGGAGAGAAGGCGCTCATTTAGTGTCAGTCAGAAACAAGGACGAGCAGGAGTTCATAGCAGGTCTAGTAGTCTCACTCTAAACCGTTTCTTAATATCAGAAACTGACCAACCCATACTGCTGGCCCCCAAAGCCAGTGCTTCCGGGAGGACCATGAGGTCTAGCTGAGGGGAAGCTCAACCTAGGAACTAGTTGGCTGTGCAGCTCAATTACTGATGATAGGCTGGTGGCTGGGGTTCCAACGAAAATTAGGAACTACCTGCCAGCTTGTGCTGCGGTGAACTTCATTCGCAACACCTTATTATGAAACCACACTTAGGAATGAGAATTCTTACCGAATTTGCTATCTCGGATAACCCTCCCTAAGATAGAGCCTTGCAGTGAGGGGAGAAGAGCGGGACACATTAACCGGAGTCGCGCGCGCCGTATTCAGCAGATCAGATGAGCACCGCAGCTGCGTGGTTCCGCCAAACTATGTTAACAGCACAAGTGATACACTAGTGAAAAGGAAAAAAAGGCCATAATGTCTTGCATAGTTCCCATGACAGACCTAGCTTGTACGTGCACAATTAAGAGAAAGGGCGGTGTCAGACGAGTTCTCACTTGCTTGGATTAGCTCTTTTCCCTATCACCTCACTTTCACCATTCGAAACTGAGAACCAGCAACTTAAAGGCAGCGTCCGCGATCAACCATAGTGAAAAAACCCTGCATCGAAAAAGAATTCGGAGCCCGCAACGTCAGCGGATATCCCACTCTTGCGGCTCGAAATGTATTGATTGACGAGGGCGGAGTCAACAAGGCTGAGCTGACGCCTCCTTGTCCTGTTAATCCCGCCCCGACTGGTTAACAGTTGCCAATCCTTGCTGACTTTGACAATCGC